AAAATGAGGGATTTGTGTAGCCACATGGCTACACTCATACTGTGTTACGTATGTGAGGTGAGCCTGGGGGAAGGGGCTACAGCCTCTTACTTTCTTTGGTAAGTCTGTATTTTATGTGCTAGCTAGAATTTGTGAATGTGTGGGTTCAGTTCTCTATTCTATCATACATTTTCTGCGTGGTATAATGCAACTGAAACCAGTTTTTACATTGCATAGGGCAGCTGGAATTTGGCAGGATTTGCCAAATTCAGAATTTCCTCGGGCTCATTGGTTTGCAGTGATCTAATGAGCCACACTTCTGTCCCTTGGGAGAGCTCTGTACCCTAGTTCAGCATCTGTAAAATGGGGCTAATAGCTCTGCCATAGTGCAGAGGAGTGCTGTGAAAATTAATTCTTTAAAGACTGTGATGGTGCCACAAATCCCAAAGATAAAAGAAGGTGGAGTCACAAGCTTGTATTGCAGAGTGCTTCAAGGCTGGAGAAATATTTTGGTGTTAAATTGAGAAAGGAATTTTGCCCTACTCCCTCTGCTAAACATTGTGAGAAATATTTGAATGATCCCTTGCATGCTCATAGTTCTACATGCGCTATGGTAGCGTTACAGAATTTGCATGCAACTTCCATTCATGGGAGCATTAAGTAAGTCCTTACTTGTCTTTTTAATAGAAAGGTAATTCAGTATGTGTATTTTGATGCCTTTCTTGTTTTGCAGTGTTCAAAATGGTATCTTTCATTGATATATGTTTACTACTGACTTAACATGAAAATATTATTCTTATTAGACCTGATTTGAAAGTTATTTAAATCTTGTTATTGCAATATCTTTAAAGATTTTTATTGATATATTTTTGCTTTTGCATTGATGATAAGGTTTCTTCATTAGCCTGATTTGGTATGCTGTTTTAGGATAGTCTAGGGTTTTCTAGGTTGGTATTATGACAATTGAAATAATAGTAATGAAAAAACATTTTAAAGTAAACAAAATCAGTCATTAAAGAGATTTACACATAACAAGTAAATTAAATATATGAATGTAATGAATAAAGAAAATTTACTAAGGACAAATCTGCATGTGGTTATGTAGCATACATACCGGGGTGAAGTTAAGCCATAAGTATGCTACAGTTTCACAAGGGTTACCTAAGTGTGTGCAGAACTTCTGAGTAGTATGAGGCAGGCATGTAAAGTAATGACTGACAAAGCTGGCTTTGGTACAAAGAATAAAGGAAGCATCACCTCTTTAGGACAGAGTTTTGTGTTTGTACAGTCTCCGCAGCTATGAAGCCTTGACCCCTGACTACATTTCCTGGATATTATGGTATTGCATATTGTAAATAGTCATCTTAGAATTATTCAGGACCTATCTTGAGAGATGCAATCCAGGAAACCAAGGTGCAAGACTCCAGTAAGTGACTCGTTAATTGCTGGCTACACATTTTGCCAGTAAGGCTGAAATTTGGCTCCAGATTCTAATAAATGAAGTAAGGTATCCAGAGTGTCCACATGTGAGCTAGAAGTGGGATTCAGTCTGGGACTAAAACACCTGTGCTTTCATCTCTGTATATAAGAATCTCTGTCTGGTTTGCATATCTAATCTCCCATCATGCTCAGGAGAGACATAGGATTCAATTCAGTTGCCTAAAAATAGGCATCTGATGTCACTTGAGGTGCCATAAAGGTGTCTTTCACACGCACACGGAGGCTGTCAAATATGATATAGGGCATACGTAAGAGACACCTGCATTCTTTGGGATGGCAGCTGGAGGCCAGGTGGGATGCCCCAGGGAATCTCCAGTGATGGCGGATACCTGCGTTAAGGCAAGTGAACCAAGGTGACTGAGTGAGGTGAATTGTTCTCTGGACTCGATTGTATTGACTAGATCTCAGTTGCCTGTAATGGGAGCTTAGATATCTAGTGTAGATGTAAATAGCTATGCTATAAATTTAGTCATCTAAATCTGGAACTGAATTTAATCCTAACTGTAGAAAAAAACAATTGTGCAAACTGTACTTTAGCGAGACACAGACGGAGGGATGCAGTAAACACAAACTGGTTTACTGCATCTCTCTTAGTGTATATTAATGAACAATTAGCATACTTTAACAACATAACATTTAACAGGACCCAGAAAAGATGCAAAAGGCTCCTCTAGTTAGCTACAAAAGCTCAGATGCTGGATTTCTGTGTAATTATGTAGAAAAATTATTGGCGCATGTTGACAGATGGACCTTGTTAACTCCAAACAATATAGCAGAAGTGTTATGCTGTAGAGCACAAGAGGCTGTGTGAAGTTCTGTACAGAATCCTTAGATTGGGGAGACATATTAAACTGAGATATGTTTGTCTGAATTAATAATAATAATGTCAAAGCCCAAAATAATATAGGAGGTATTTTATAGCACCCAGGTCAGCAGATGGTTGCATGTTAGCATGAACAAACAGAAAACATGTTTCTAGCTTCCATAATCATCTTTGAAAATCACTCTGGAGTTATTTTATATCATTAACCCATGTCTCCAGAGCAAATCATAGCTATTTATTGATGGACATATTTTCAGAATCTGCGAGCATTTGCAAACTAAACTGATCTTTAAAAATGCTTCAGAACAGTTTGGGTCGTCTTTGGTTTGTTTCCCCCCTCTCTCTATCCCCTACCAAGACCTTGCAGGTATTTTTGTGAAACTTTTTAAAGATGTTACAGTAGCTTGTAATACTACACTAAGGTGTAGTGAAACAGCTGATCAGCCATAAGTTAGTAAAAGGCCATATGATACATAAAATACTGCTATTCTGACTCCAAGAAGGGGGCACACAGTTGAAGCAGTAGCTGGACACCTGACTCGACAAAGGCCAGATCAGTTTTTGAAGGTGATTAGAAAGACTGAGCTGGACCATCCCAGCTGCCTTTTTAGGTAGGAACTGTCTCAGTTTTGAAATAATCAGAGATCCTGCACATCATGTTACTTGAAGTGTCACCTTTTCAACTCAGAAGCTGAATTCCTGCAAAACCACAAAGACAGCATTGCTTGGGAAAGGGCCAGGAACATGTTTCTAAATGACTGGAGATCTTTTTCAGTTTTAGAAATAATTAGGTCATTGATGAATTTGTTGTCTAGCAAAAGTGTGCCGTTTAGGTTTAATTAGTACACATGAATATTTTGGTCTGATCAGAGAGTTATTTTGGCTCAAGTCCCAAACAATGACTTTTAACCAGACTGTTTGATGTTGGAGTCTGTCCCTGTGCATTGAACTCTCCCATGAAATTACTAGCCCTAGGAGTCATCCTTTCAAAGCAGAAGCTGTTTTTAATTATTAAAGAAAGTAAATCCCCTCAATAGACTGTAGATGAGTTCCAGATGAATGCCCAAATTTACCCTTTGCAATTTTTCTCAGTTTTAAGAGGACACAGTTAATTCACATGGTGCCCAACACAACTTTAACAAACAATCAGCATTATGCAAACCTAAGTCTATTTAAGTTTTTGTCTGACATTCTGATAGAAAGAGTGAATTTTTAGTGAAAGCCGTCTGTTTCTGTATTTGTAACACAAACATTGCAGAGCTCATAACCTAGAAATGAAATAGACCACAAACAAAATTGAAAATTACTCCACTGGGATAGATTGTATTTTAACAGGTAGTTCTAAGTAAGGGTTGGTGAATGACTTCATGGTCAAAGGAAGATCTTATTGCTTCCAGGGCAATAATTTGGTTTTGACACTAATAAGTAGCAAATTCTTGACCTTTACAAATATTCTGACCTGTTAAGCCTGACATGCTAAAACAAGAAGAGTTAAAGCACCCTTTACTCTCTTTTTCTATTTACTTTTCACAGCTTTAGTTACCTAAGGCAGCAGTTCCTGAGATGTTTTTCACTGTCATGAAATAAATATACAGAGAGCTATACACCTGGATGCAGGACCTCCTTTATTTTGGAGGAGATGTTTAATGTTTCAGGTCATTGGTCTTGAAGCAGCAAGGAGCATCGTGGGGATAGGATATTTTGAGTATGGAGCCAGATGAGTGCTGCAACAAACTATTTAGCATGACATTGCAAACCACCAGTGGTCTGTGGGTTATAGTCCATGACATCAAGCACTAAGGTTATGTCTATATTAATAAGTAGTGCAGTGCAATGGGAACAGATCTGTGTAGTGAAAAAGTTGTTGCTGACCTGATGATCACACTATATAGATTTATATACTATATATATGCTTTTAATTTGGGCTAGCTTTACTGTGGTCCTATGGTCAAAAGGCCATAAGGAGTTGGAGCACATTTTGTACAGTCCTGTAATGTACCTTATGGTGTAGGTCTACCCAAAAGGAATGAGTTTCTCATGCTCTGAAGCTGCTCTGCAATCCAAAGCACAGCCATTAAGTGGGGTCAATGAAGAGGTTCACTTCAAAAGTAAACGTTTGTTACAAACTAGTATCAAGTTTTTCACTATTTCATGAAAACTCATGAAGAAAGTTTGATTTTCATGTGTGTTTTTTAAGCTGACACTTTTCCCCTAAGCTTTTAGACATTTCAGTCTTTGAATATTTAAGGCAGCCCTTCATAAATTGAATAAAAAGCAGAGGGTTTCTTTCGAGTGATGAGTGCTTGGTATTATTTTGTAACTTTCGTTATACAGGCATCAGCGGTCTATTTGTTTTGCAAGATGTACCCAGCAATGCAGCTGGTGAAGAGCTCCCTTTCTTATCAAAAGATGATTGCAATTATTATATGCAAGGCTGTAAAACCCTATTTTATTTTGAATTAAATTGATTAGAATGAAGACATGCATTTTTTCTAATAAAGATTAATCCAAATTTTGGAAGGAAATTATCTCTACACATCACAGCTTGTCACACAAAATGATTTTTACGAGTATAACCTTTGAGCCAAATAAAAAGAGTAAAAAGAGAGAAAGCCTAGGTGAATTTATTAAATGTCAAGTAATGAAAGCTATACAAAAAGTCTGTATTTTTCACTCCAAACTTCTATTTTTCTTGTAGCCCAAGCAGCGCACATCAATAGTATCTTCTCTGGAATTTCACCGAATGAATCACAGCCACAATTATTTTGAAATCAACTCGTCCATTGGCTGTACAAGTTTTATTTCTACTCCTGCAATCAGTCCAGCTAATTATTCCTTTGGATCTCTGGAATACAGTATTGAAGAGAGAGAACTTCCAGGTATAGAAAAAAAAGCTTACTTTGCCTATCAACAAAGCTTTATAAAACTATTTGTCTGTGAGTTTAAGCTGCAATGGCTGTTGTCTTTGGTAGTGAAATACATTTATCATAAATACACAAAATTAGTCCTGATTTTTTTTTTCTGCTGCTCAACAAAGGGTTCTCATATTTCATGACCAATATTATTAAAATATACTTTTTACTGAATGTTATATTGTGAATAAGCCAAACTTTGTTTTACAGAAATGCCTAGAATTTAGATATTGTAGTTTTTGAAATTACAATGATTCAGGTGCACATCTACTTTCATCATTGTGTGATCAGCATACTCTAATATGAATTTTAAGTTGGAAAAATGTAATTAGAAATCATTATGTAACCATCAGTAAAGATGAGGAAGGGAAGATTTCTAAGTAACCTGACATTGTTTCTGCAGTAGTAATGGGTTTCATTAAAGCAAAACTTTAATATATTTGCTCTGATGATAAGAATTGAACAGAGTGATAATGTGATTGTAACTGCGAAGGTTTTATCTGTGTATAGAGGTTTACATAATGAAAATTCTTTAAAAAGGATTAAAATGTTTTCTTCTTCACAGATCAAAACTTCAGGAGCGAGAAAGTCTCAGTAAACCATGAATTTACCTACTTCTGTCCCTTCAAATTTCATATGCGAGTTTCTTTATTTAGGCTAAACTTGTAGCAGAAGAGTATAGTATTTGGGAAAGCTAATGTATTGAAACAAATGTTTTTGATAGCTAGTTTATGTGATCTGCAGATGGAATTATTTCTTTTAAAGGGATACTGTATTTAAGACATAAATAGAAGCAGATTACTATAAAATAAAAACTTATACAAATGTTGAAATTCAGTACAAACTTATCAATTGGCTTCTGTAGCATTGGTCTTCAAATGAGATGAATCCTCTACATTTCAAGTTGGTAGGGTTTGAAAATTGTGAAAACTTGCTTTTAAATGATCAAAAAATAATTAATTTCATAGTTAGATCAAAGGAAAACTATATTGTTAAAGAACTGTCATGAAATAAGTTGAGCAAGAAATCCTATCTGTTATGATGAAGAAATAGTTAAAACGATCAGAAATTATTCATATTGGTTTTCTTGGACTGGCTGTGTCATTATCTTTGAAACTAAAAGCAGGTGCTTATATTCATGGATATAGCAAATCTTTTCAAGCCTAACTGGAAATAATTAATTTGAATGGTATCTTTTATTCCTAGGTCTGGGGTCATTTGATTCTTTAGGGGTTTGGGTGGTTTTTGTTGTTACTGGTTTTTTTATTGTAAATTCTCTTCAGTGATCACAGTTTTATTCTGGGTAGTTGAATGATACTAAATATGTCTTCATGTTTAAAAGCAAAATAAGAAAACAGAAAGAACATTACTTGAAGATAGATAATGCACTTCTCTGGATTTCTGCTGTTGCACAGTTCTGGTTCAGTTCTTCATAATATCTGGATCTGCTTTACTTTTATCTTTGGTTAAATTTGCAATGGACTGCGCTCAGTAACTTTTAATCACTGCATTTCATTTGGTCTGAAATTGGAACTATAATCTCATGCTTATTAGAACTGTACATTCCTAATTTGTGGATGATTTGATTTATGGATTGAGTGGAAGCTGAATTTCCTCTTGTCTCTGCCTGGAAAGCTAAGAAAAAATAACGAAGGCAAAATGACTGGTTCTCTAGCTCTGGGCATCTTCTACAAGTTTTTCAAGAGTATGGTTTGCCATAAGCAAATCACTAATTTACCATCAGTAAATGAAATAATGATAGTAAAAGTGCAAATCCCCACCCCCCTTCTCAGATGGTTTCTATCCTAGAATTATTTAAGTAATATATAGGATCACAGATTAGACACAATCTTAGTCTGAATGATAAAACCTACATTTTATTGTGCTCATTAAGGTCCTTTCGACTCCTTAATGATAGACAATGCACTGTAATTCTGCAAGAGACAAGCAGTACTAATCTGTAAAGAGAATAGCAAAATCCAGAAAGAACAGATGAAAATTGTGTCCCTGAGGCTTGTCTCTTACCTAGACTGTTAAAAGCTGAACCTTGAATAATAATAGTCAGCAAGGAGTAGCAGAAGCAGTGTTCTGCTACAGTGTTTTTTCTGCTTTAGCTAGCTGTTGTTTCACTGAAAGGTTTCTTGTTCCTTTTTCAGATCTACAGTGACAACAATTACAATTCATCATATGTCTTTATTATAATCGTCTGAATTGCCAACTTGTTCTGAAAATTCATGGAATATCTGCACCTTAAAAAATGTTTAGTTCAATAATATTTGAGGATTTGTGCGCATTTGAGTGTTTCCTACTATATTATATTCTTGGGCATTCATGTGCCTCATGGGTTTTTTTAAAAGCATCATCAGCAAAAAGCAATGAATTATTTTATCATGCTTTTGAGGTCAAGGGTCTTCTGGCTGACCAGAAAGAAACAATATACAGAAGCAACCCATTTTCATAGTAACTGCAGCTAGTAGTTTTCTGTTGCCTTCTTTGAAACAATCAAAATGCTTTTTACAGGATTTCTAAATCAGGAACTGCCATTTAAATAAGGCGTTAGTATTTCCCTACTCAATTTCAGTGTTTTTTATGTTTTCTTCAGGAAACTTGCAATGATTCATTATCATTCAGATGAGAGTGGGAAATGAATACAACAAAATAATTATTCTAATTCTAAAATCTTCATCATTTTACTTCTACCTCAATAATCTGCTACCAAAGAAGAATCAGTATCTTGTAACTTTTGGTAGATTAGAGAAAATTCCTTTTTGTATTTGGGGATCGCAGTTTTACTCTTGGTGTTTGCTAATTCCCTACATCCCCTGATTTGAAACAGGGATCCCGATTTTCAAGAAATGTATTTCTATCAAGTAGAAAACCACAGAACTCTACCACAGCACTATATTATCCGACTGACAGCATATGACAACATTTTCTGATTAATTAGCTGGAGAACAATCCACATATAATGGTAAGTATGTGCTTAGCTTTGGGATCAGATGGTCTTGTAGCATAAACAAAACTGTGTATGTTGCCCGCATGGATGGCAGAAGATACCTTAATACCAGGTTTCCTGCAACTAAAATGTAAGGATAAAGATTCTGTTATTTATTTTGAACTTTAACTGGTGGAAGAACCTACAACAAGTTGATGGAAACTCTTCTCTCACTCCGGTATACATAGGGCAGACTGTGAATGCAGCTTTGGCGTGGCCTATTTTCACAGCTTTATTTGCAGCAAGAACATTGACTTCATAGAAATGTTCTTGAATTCAGAGTGAATAATCTTGCTTTTATAGCATTGCATTTCACCTCAAGTTGGAGGTCAGTGGATCCAAATAATGTCAGCTACTACCATTAAACTTCCTGTACTAAAAGTGAGTCCACTCCGTTGCACAAGGAAGTCATTACTGTATGTAACTGTGTCATGGTAAGATGCTAGTCATTTTCTTGATCATCTGAATACATGTTTAGTAGGTGTTTTGTATGGTAATACAAATGAAAAATTAAAGACCTGATAATCAGGTGATGGTTCTGTTTGTGAGATGTTCCTCATACAACTTTGACTGTGAACAGACCACTAGACGTGCAAGATCATTCACTACAGAAGAGGGCAGTCTGGGTTTTCAGGGAGATGCCTCTCTAATATAGCTCTATGCCTTGTTATATGCATCCATGAAGTTCTTTTGAAACTGTAAGTCTTAAAGATTGAAGGCAGCAAAATTTTGGCCATCTTGGTAATGTCAGCTTGGCACAATCAACAAACACACTTGCAGCTGAAATTGTCACTCCAGATTATTTTATTTTTCATTTCTGCTTGATCAGTCAGAATAATGGATCTTTCTCTAACCTGTATTAACTTCATTATGTCTTCTTGTACTGAGTATAATTGGGCTGTGAAATTAAAAAGACAGTTCTGCAGGTATTCTTTTTCTGTTTCAGATCAGAAAATAGATCTGTACTCAGATGCATGTATGCATCAAAAATGTCAGCAGTTGTCTGTAGGTAATCCCATTGCAGTCTTTATTTTCAGCCCATGAAAATCTTTAAATTTTCAATAAATTCTGTATGCCATTCATTGTAAAAGAGCATACAGTTTTTCTCTCATCTTGTTGTGGTATCTAAAGGTATTTACTGAGTTTATCTCTTAGTTACAAAGTCTGTCTCCACTGTAGAACCTTAATGTAGCTCTTACTCTTTTTACATATCTTGTTTTCTGACTTTGCGTAACATTATTTCATTCATCTAAGAAGGCTACATTGTTCCTTAGAACAACCCAGAATGTGCAATTCAAAAATTCAATCTTTAATATGTGGACTATAATTTTTTCTCTTCTACAAGAAAAAAGTAATATTTAAGTCACACCTTAGGTTTTTTCTAGAAGTGTTTTCAGATCTTTCTTTAAAGCAAATATCTGATCAAATTGTTTTGTCTCACAAGCCCAATTTTTCTGAAGCAAAAGCAGCCTTACACTTAAACATGAGCTTGTAGTTTTATTTTCCTCTTTTGAGAGAATCAAAATATTCAGCATATTACTGTGGCTGTTAGAAAGTATTAGAAACTTAGTTCAGAGGTCTGGTCTAAAATTCCTGGCTATGTTGCGTTCCTAGATACAGTCAAAATTTATTCTGCTGCAGGAATGTTCCTTTATGTGACATTAGCAAAGCTGCTGTTTGAAGTAGGTCACATATTTGTCAACATTACTTTCTTATTCAAATATCTCATTTATTAAGATCTGATATGAAAAGATCAAACTATAGTGTCTATGTAGACTCTTCAAGCCTTGTTTCTTCAATGATAAAAAGTTTTGGCATTACTAGAAGTGAAATACAAAATGAAAGGAATGCAAAGAAAAAAGAAAATACCTTTTATTGCTAGAGGGTATTTTTAGGTGTGCTATATGTAAGTTCATGGTACACTTTCCTTGTCTATTAACAATACCTT